AGCCGGGCGCCCCCTGCGCGCAGAGCCGGCCGGACGCCTGGGTTCCGCCCCCCGCCCCTACTCAGCTCGTCTGGCCACGGGGCCGGGCCGGGCCGGGCCAAGCGCTGAATGGAGCCATCGGCAGCTGCACCGCCTCCCCCTCAGGCACCGAGCACGGGGGGGTAAGAACCCAGGCGTCCGGGCTCCCCCGCACCCCAACCCGCCAGACGCCACTCCCAGAGAACCCAGGCGTCCGGCCCTAACCCCCGAGGTGCAGGTATGGGGGAATGGGGAGCAGGTAGTGGACGCGGAGGGAGACCGGGAATTGGATAGCAAGGGGTGGGTACTGAGTGGGGTGCTGGGGGGCCACGGGGGTGGGTGCGAGGTGTGGGGCTGGCAGAGGGGACACAAGAGGGGGCCACGCCCCTGTCGCCCTCCAGGTCTGGGTCTATGCTCTAGTCTTGGGGGGTATGGGGCCGGGTGGGTTAAAGGCCTGGGGGGGCTGAGCAGGGCACAGGCTGTGGTCCCAGAAGGCTGCCCCAAGGTGGGGAGATGCGGGGGGGCTGGGAGCCAGGACTCCTGGGTTCTCTCCCTGGCTCTGGGAGGGGAAGGGGGGGCTAGTGGGTTAGAGTGGGGGGGGAGCTGGACTCCTGGGTTCTCTCCCCAGCTCTGGGAGGGGAGGGGGGGCTAGTGGGTTAGACCAATGGCCCTGGGGTACTCAGAGGTCTTCCAGGGGGTCCATCAACTCATCTGGAGATTTGCCTGGTTCCCAAACTGGGGTTTGTGAAATGTTCTTTGGGGGGCGGGGGGGGGCTCTCTAACAGCGGCCAGACAGAGCTGTCCCTAGGGCCCCAGGGGCGAGCAGCCAGAGCCCCTGGCCTTCCGAGAGCGAAGCCGGCCAAAGCCGGGTCTCTAGCCCACTGAGGAGATTTAAACTTCAAGACTCCTTATAAGAAACGGAAAAGGAGGCGGATAATTTTTTGCTGGTTTTAACATTCAATCGGCAGCGAGTGGCCGTCGTAACGTGATGACGAAGAACAAGGTTCAGCTTCGGTGGAACGTGCGTCGTTTGCCTGCACTGCTCAAGGCCCGAGTCCTTGGGGGGGTCGATCTGGCGGGTAGTGTGGACATGCCCTGAGCTGGTGTTTAAACCCCTTCCTGCTGTTCCACATCTGAGACTCCCTGGTGAAAGGGGCCTCGGCTCATGACAAGGGATTGAGCAACGGATGCCCGTGTCATCGTGTAATAAACTTGCCATAAAACCCGGTGTTAGCTTTCCCAGAGCTCGGCCTTTCTCGGTTATACTCTGGTCAAGGAGAAAATCCCTGGCGAGGTTCATTTGTAGGAGGGGGTTCGTGAGACGGGACGTTTTAGTGAAAGGGGCTCCCGGGTGGGTAACGTTTGGGAACCACTGGCCTGGTTTGACAACAGACTCTGTGAATAGCCCTAGCGGAGCCAGTCCCCGCTAACGTCACCCGGACACGGCCTTGGTCACGCGGCTCCGTGTCTACACACGTGTACACCTGTTACTGGGGGGGGGGGGCGGCATTCAGCACCAAAACATTACAAATTCTGCGCCCAACATCCGGCCAGTTTTATTTGTCGAGCAAACACAGGCAGAGGCCCCAGCCTGGCCAGGGGGAGCACTGCGCCCCCCCCCCAACCTGCACCAAGGTGGGAGATCACCCTCTGCCCCCAGACTCGGTGGTGGGGCTGCCCCCACCCAGCCCCAGAAACACTGTCGGGCACTGCCCCTTGGCGCCAGGCAGGATCCAAGTGTGGAGGGGCCCAGTGGGGAGCTGGGAGCTTGGGGGGTGTCTAGGTGTGGGGGCAGCTGGATGCACAGAGGCTTGGGGGGG